CCTCATAATATATATTTTTGTAAACATAATAAAATAAAAAATATTTTGTAAATATAAGTTTGCAGTTGAAAGCTACCATCGGAATCGAGTTAAAATTTATTGAATAAAAAATATTTTTGGGAACATAAGTTCACAGTTGAAATTGTGAACTAATTTGAAATAATTACCAGATTTAAAATACTCATATATTCTGAAATGGGCCAGGGTTACAATTGAGGTGTATCAATGGTCCGTGCAAGTTGTCTTAGATTTATAAAGCAAATGAGCGGTCTTCTCCACCGCAGCGTCTTCGGTAATTGGTTTGGTTTTGGCGGGGCAGAAATACCTGGTATAGCTATACAAGACATAAAACAAGGAAATAAAACGTACTTGATTGCATTGTTCCACTATGTCTAAAAATTATACAAGTTATAGTCGAATGGCAGCAAAAGATGCTAGTTTGCCAATGTAGGCAACAAAAACAAATGAATTGTTGGGTGTATGGAATTAATGCACTGCATGTTGAAGATGTTGTCGAAAGTTCATTTAACAAAAGAGGTAATATTCATGAAATTAGGATTTTTATTTGAGTTATGAAATAATTTTTCTTGATTTGCTGGACCGTCTGCCGGACCAAGTTCACAACAAATAAAATCCTGTAAATCATGGGAAACATCAAGAAAACTTCTAATTTTACATATACAATTTTTATATTTAATTGGAAAAATTTTGTCACACCAGCAAATGAAGGTCTAAGAGAAGTGAATTTTTTTATCAAACTAATCGATAGAGAATGTTCTGAAACGTCCATAAAACATAATACCTTTTTATTGAATTTCTGTCAAAGTGTCAATTTACTTAGAAAATTTTTATAAAAATGTTTCATGTTCTCTGGATGTTTCAGATCATTCTCTATCAATTAGTTCAAACAAAAAATGCATTTTTCTGTGAACCCAAATACATACATGGGTAGGGAACTCTGGGTTTTAGTCACTTGGTCAGGGTTTTAGTCAGTACCAGTAAGTAGTAACTTGAGATGAACTGCCATGTAGTAACTTGAGATGAACTGCCATATATAGTCTCAGAATCTCCATGCCACCAGTATTGGAATCTTCCCACTTGTTTCTGAAATCTCACGGCTGAAAAGTGAGGAATTTTTTATACATTTGGAAACTTGTGGCCCGATAATGGACTTTTGTTAACAATTATATAGGAGGTAATCAATTTGACGGAAATTTCGTGGTTCTGGAAATGGTAGGAAAGCTCTATTCACGGCCGGACGGCCCTAATGGTAGAGGTTTTCCATGCTTGCATGCCACTATGTGAATTAAACTTTTCTAACTTGATAGATAATCATCTAAGTTTACCATTGTATAGTTTTATAGTTTAATAACTCAGGTTCAAAATTTCTGTCCTGGCAAACAGGGCTGGAAAAGTCCTATTTTTATCTGAAATATCGCGGCTCTAATATATAATTGCAGTAAGCCAAAATATCCTGCAGAAAAAACATAAACATTGTAATGTAAAACAAATCAATTAAACGTTTTGTTGAAGATTGCACATAGTTGCAGTCATGTCAAAGCGGTCTGACTGCATTAACATGTGCTCAACTTACAGTAAAGACAAATTTTATCGTTGCCATTTGACTGTTTTAGGGCCAGGATGCAGAGTGTGGAAGCAGCGTTGCCAATATATGGGTTTTTAAGCCCAAAGCGTCGCCAACCATTTTCAAGATGCATCGCCGGGTAATTTTTAATGAAAAGCCATTTACACTGAGTAATGAAAAACTATTTACAAGCCACGAACTTATTTACAAGGTTGCATGCACTTGTTACTCCAAATAACTAATTTTACCCTAAAAACAGTCCGATCGTACAGCAAGTGTCAACTGAACATGTGATAATGCAGTCTGACCGCTCTAATGTGACCGCAACTACACTACACAATCGTAAAATTGTTAACATTTTTTTTGGCGGGAAATCATTGCAACTGATTTCCGGACAAGCTTCACTGCATCCTGATCCTGATCTATCCAACATACCGGAAACCTTACTTTTTTTTAAATAGTTGGCCAAAGACTGACAAATATATTAAATGCAAGAGTTTCAATCTAAATGTGTCAGCAAGATCTTCTGAATGGGTAAATTTTGCTACTGAAGCGTCGCCAAAGATCTTGCAATATTCATTCACTCTCTGCACAGTGGTTTTAGCCTTTTAGGGTAAAATTAGAGATTTGGGGTAACACGTGCATGGACTTTGTAAATAAATTCGCGCCTCGTAAATGGCTTTTCATGGCCAAGATATGGAATTCACGGCTCAAAGAAATGGAATCACGGCTTGCAAATCCATAAAACCATGGCTCGAAAAATTCAGTCGCGGCTCGCCAAGTAGATATATTCCATGCCTGCTGGCAAAGAGAGCAAATTAACATGAGATAGCAAATTCAAGTTTAAAGTCAGTATCACCAAAAATTATCAGTGGTTTGTAGCGCCATTATAAGAGTTAACCCACAAGGTAAATTGTTTTGGAAACTTGGAAAGTCATTATTAGGCTAATAAAAACTTTTTTCTTCATTGTTAAAATGCAAATAAATAATAGGCACATTGAAATAAAAAAATCCTAGTAGGTACAATTCTTGTACATTTAATTAGAAGACAAAATATTCTCAGATACATAAATCTAATAGAAATTACCAGCCGAGAAAGAAATCCTAAAAATATTCATCCAAACTGATCTTTCAACGCGAAGAGTTAATAAATACGAAATTAATTTGGACCACATGCGTGAGCCTGCGAGGAATGGCGCCGCCATATCCGGCATTGTACTACGTCAGCATTGAATCAAGACATATTCTGAATAAATAAAAGCAAGATAATTCGAATAAAATATAAAAAAGTAGTGATTAAAGTGAACTAGATGATATATTACCTTGATAAATGAAGACATGCCACGTAGATTTAGATAATGGTTAAATTATTGAGACCAGTACACGCGCATCAGCTTCGTACTTGCTTGCATCAACTAACTCGGTTCCAGCAATGTAGGAATGTTGCCGGTCTTCATGTTCTAGGTATAGATTCATTATGAAATGTCTTATTAATTAACTTTTCGTTAGTACATAATGAAGGTGATAATGATTACGGTGGCTTTCAAAACATTGTAAAATACGAATAGATTATAGGATGCTCATATCTAAATGATTTATGTCGCTATGACATATTACCGATATTCCTTTCCCATATTACCGATAATCACATCACGCACACGTTATTTTCCTTTAAAAAATAAATTTATATTACATGCAGAGTAATTTCGTACTTTATTCATTGATCACGTCATCAGTGGGGCATAATACATATTTTTTGAAGTTTTTGCCGTACTTTAAAAAAAATTCACCATAACACAGCAGCAGTGGCTTTTTGTTTTTCAAGTCGAAGCTTTGGTGTGATAAGAAATTAATAGAAAGAACTCAGTGTTACACTGGAACAAAAAGCCGAATTTTGATTCGTGTTGAATAATCACATTCATTAGAATTTGTAATAAACTAAGAGAATTGCAATATGTCGTGCTATATTCAGGTACGGATGTGTCACACATGAATTTCTTTATCATGCATACCTAGCAAATTAAGTGTTTTGTTCTTATTTTCTAATGATCAAATGGTAAGATAATACCAGTTTGATCCCTTTGATGTGTGTCGTGATATTTGTACAAATTTTTTGCTGCCTGCTGGAATATATTTTTAATACAAAGTAGCGAGTGCCAGCTATAGCTATGCTGTGTAGAGACCTGCTAGGCTGCTAAAAGGTATGAGCTGCATATTTTATTAATCTGTAATAATAAGATGGTACAACAATTGGTAATAGCCAATCTCGAATATGAAGCAGAATTTTATTAGACTTGTAGCTGAAAATCACTATTATACATTTGCAAATTAAAAATTTTTAATTTATATAGATAATTTTTCTTGTTTCTTGCTGAACAGCTAAAGAAATGGAGAAAGTGCCATAGAAACGAGTAAAAATTGGTTAAATTCACAAGTGTGTGACTTCTGCCCAATTTTTGCCATTTGACTGGCAAGAAAGCACAGTTAAGCCAGTAAAGCTTTTTGGTTCAAGATATTGGCATCTCTTCTAATTTTGGCAAACTCTGTCAACTTAACTAATTATCAAACTAGTCATCTTTACCAATGGTTAATAGGTCCCTACTTGACATTCTAAAATGGAAAATAAAGCAGAATGCAGAAACTGAGAAACCTATCATGAATATGACAAAAATGCCTGTATGTGCTGACCATTTCATCCATTTTTATGACCTTTGCTTAGTTTTGTAATTGAAAATCATTGTTGTGATGTAATTTCTATTTAATCTCTATCATTTATATTTCATGTTGTCATCCTTGTTGCTGTACTGCCATACTTCTCGACTGTGCCGTTATTTCTGTTGTCCTGTTATCATCCATTCTGTTGTCATGTTATCATCCGTTCTGTTGTCATGTTATCATCCGTTCTGTTGTCCTGTTATCATTTGTTCTGTTGCCATGTTATCATCCACTCTGTTATCCTGTTATCATCCGTTCTGTTGTGCAGGTTGCAGAGGAGGAGGGGGAGGAGAGCATGGAACTTCCCCTGGAGGAGGACGGCTCCCTTCTGCTGTCTACTCTGGCCGCCCAGTNTCCAGATTGAGTGTGAACTCTTTTGGAAAGGTATGAGCTGCATATTTTATTAATCTGTAATAATAAGATGGTACAACAATTGGTAATAGCCAATCTCTAATATGAAGCAGAATTTTATTAGACTTAATTGTAGCTGAAAATGATTTTTTTGAATAAATTGAAATTTGAATGAATGATAATTTTTCTTGTTTTTTGCTGAATAAATGGGAAAAAGACCTTAGAAACAAGTGAAATTGGTTGAATTCACAAGTACAGTGGGGGGAAATAAATATTCGTACACTTGAAAAATCGTATTTTAATGTATGTAAGTACACAAACTTAACAGGAGAAGTGATTTAAATTATGAGCCTTGGGGGTGGCGCTCGAGATGTTCACGGACACGCCCTTGATGATGTGGTCCTCTCCACACAGCCGCTGTGCGATCTGCACAGCACAGCACACATCTGGACACAGCACAGCACAGTACACATATGGACACAGCACAGCATGCATTAGGGCACAGCACAGAGTTAGCAGAGCTGCCCCCTCAGGAGAGGCTGAGAGCTGACTGAGCATCTCGTGCAACAGCAGACATGAGAGCAGCTCAGCACGGAGCTGAACTGCTGCCGCGCGGTGTAGCGGTGAGAGACACTCGCATCCAGCACCCGGGGGAGGGGTTTGAGTCCAATGCACCAAAAGTTTCCCCAGCAAGCTCAGCCATTCAGCAAATTCAGGTTTTAACCTCCTATAGTCTTCCGATGAAATGACTTACATAAGCCCCCCTAATACAACAGACTATATAACACTATAAACTATGTGTCCATCAAACTAACTATGTGTCTAAAATGTGTCCATCAAACTATGTGTCTAAAATGTCCATCAAACTAACTTTGTGTCTTAAAATATGTCCATCAAACTATGTGTCTTAAATGTGTCCATCAAACTAACCATGTCTCCATCAAACCAACTATGTGTCTCAAATGTGCATCTAACAGGCGGCCAATGATCATCACTAACTACCCTAGTCGCCACTACAGGCCGGGCAATAAACACACACCGGCACTGCAGCCACGACACGCAGTTAGGAACTCGACAGGTCCATCGCCCTAGAGGGACGTGAGATAATAGCTCATGAGCCTTAACTACCCCCGGCAAACCCCCCTTCTCCCCCACAAGTCCCATGCCCTCTCCATCAGCCCCCCTAACCTCTGGGTCGAGGAAAGTGACAAAGCTGAAGGCCCTGAAGGGCTTGGGGATGAAGACGTCCGTGACCTCCCCGAACTTCTCGAAGTATTCCCTGAGGTCCTCGGCGGTGATGTCCTCTGTGGTGCGCCCCACGAACACCTTGCAGCTCAGCGGGTTGCCTCCATCCTGTAGGCGGAGAGGGGTTAGTGGGGACATCTTGTAGCTTGGTGGGTCACCACCATCCTGCAGAGGGAGAGAGTTTCAGTGGGGGCTCTTTGGAGGGAGACTACAATAAAATTTCAGGAGATTACATTTCCCAGTCAATGAATGAGGATGGGCAACGTAAGACAACAAAGGTAAGCACAAAATTTATCCTCCATATAGAGACATTAGGGTCCATATGGACCCTAACGTCTCCTTATGGAGGTTGGAAGTTAGGAAACAAACCCCTCCCTCAAACTCACCCTGTAGTTGCGGGACTACTCATGTTTTCCTCACCTCCAGGAAAATGACCTCTTTGAATGCGCCTCTCGTACCTGATACCCCGACAACGGAAACAACCCGAACCCTCACTACGGAACCAACCTTGACCTCTCCCGCCTCCACGTTGATCTCGACGCTGGAGCCATTTAGCCCGCGCCCTCAGGCCTCTGGCAGGGCCGGGCAAAATAAGAATTCTAAACGAGGAACGACGCTTTCATGACGTTTCAGTTACGTTTTAGAGGTGTTTTTATGACGCTTTAATGACGATTTAGAGACGTATGGAGACAAACTCAGCCAACCCTAGAAGCCCACAACCGAGATTACCCTCACTTCTTCCGCGTCTCGTCGACGACGGGTGAGAGCCTAGCTGCCATTGACGTAGTTCTGGCTAACCGGCAACTTGTCCTTTCTTTGGGCAGTGAACCCAAAAATGCGCACGAGACCCGCGACGGAGCCCTCATTGTGGAAGTACAAAGCAAACAAAACTACAAGAGCATCTTAGCCACTATAACGTTAAATCAATCTACCAAAAGAAGAAGAAGTTGCATGGAACCCTGGTGGACCTCCCGTTATATGTCTTAACATTCGCAACATGCAAGCTCCCAACTGAAGTGAAGATCGGGTGGCACCGCTGTGCTGTGAGAGAGTACATCCCTCGCCCACGCCGATGCTATAAGTGCCAGCGCTTCAACCACGGAGCTAAAACATGCCGAGCGACCACTACTATATGCCCCAGATGCACATGATTTGCCGTGTCTCCGACCGGCTAGATGCCCTAATTGTGGAGGTCCCCATGAAGCATCATCACCTGACTGCTATCATTACAAACTTGAACAGGAAACGCTGGCAATACAAGTAAAACAAAAACTAATGTATAGAGACGCAAAGCGTCAAGCGAGTGCCATTGTCCCACGACCGGGCACCACTTACGCATCTATACTCCGTAAGAACCGTGGCCCTGGCCGAGTGCTGGAGCCACGACAGACCACAAAAGAAAGTCGTGATGATGCAGCAACCATCTCATCACTGAAGCCCCGACGTGTGACACCTGCTGGTGGAGCACAGGAGTTCGGGACGCAAATATCTGTGGACCAAGTCGTTAAAGTCTGGCATGGCAATGTCAAGTCTGTTTGACCATGAATCTGTTGTGCTGGTTTTGAAATCATAAACATGCACCTCTTTAAAATGAGCCGTGCTGGAATAAAATTACGTTTTATCCTGGTAAACTTGGGTTTTAATGTCCGACTAAGTGCAATAGCATGGCAGCTACGGAAACTTTTATTCAGATCTATTGTAGCCGCAGCTCCTTAATTTGGAGATTAGGTAGTATGAAATGCCCATATGGCAACACTTACTAGAATAAGCAATTTATTTATTAGAAATTTTTAGAATAAGGAATTTATAATAAACACTTATTTCCACCGGCCACTTTAACTCTGTCCGCGACTAGGGTCGCTTTACTTGTTCAGTGTTCCTAGTTCATGATCTTTTTGTGTATTTTCTGGTGTATTTTTTTGAGATTCTCTTATATTTGTCATAAACGTGCCAAAGTTTGTATTATGTATTCATTTTCGTTTTTTCAGATATAATCAAAAATTGCAACTGTTCAGTTCCTTCACTATTAAACCAAGAAACTTAGCATAAAATTATTGAACCTCCTTTTAAGCCTAGAGCTCAGTACGTCAGGAGGTGCTGCACCGTTCTAGGCGTAGCATCCTTTGAATGAAAGCGTTACATCTATTTTATCAACAAGATGGTTACCAGCATTTGGCCGTAGGACTCAAACATTCTGATGACAAGATTGGGATGTGTGGCAAACGTCCACTGACATCTTCATCCATTCTCACCAACTAGTGGGTGAATTCCCCCAGCACCACACCCCACTGGGGGCTCTTCTGATGGGTGTCTATGCTTGTCGGAAGTTCCTTGGGATTTCTCGTTAATTTAGGACAGGGACTTTGTTATTGAGCGCCTCTGCACAGGGGGCTCGTTGTGCCGGACTGCGGGTCTCAGTTGTGGGGTCCTGTTGTTGTTTGGGCCCCTCCTTGTCAGGTGACACCTGTCCTCCTTGTCACCTGTCCCTCCTTGTCAGGTGACACCTGTCCTCCTTGTCACCTGTCCCTCCTTGTCAGGTGACACCTGTCCTCCTTGTCACCTGTCCCTCCTTGTCAGGTGACACCTGTCCTCCTTGTCACCTGTCCCTCCTTGTCAGGTGACACCTGTCCTCCTTGTCACCTGTCCCTCCTTGTCAGGTGACACCTGTCCTCCTTGTCACCTGTCCCTCCTTGTCAGGTGACACCTGTCCTCCTTGTCACCTGTCCCTCCTTGTCAGGTGACACCTGTCCTCCTTGTCACCTGTCCCTCCTTGTCAGGTGACACCTGTCCTCCTTGTCANAGCGTAAGTACTTACGTTCACTTAATCATAGACAAGAAAATAGAGCGTAAGTACTTACGTTCACTTAATCATAGACAAGAAAATAGAGCGTAAGTACTTACGTTCACTTGGCGAGTTTGAAAGTATGGCACATGGAGTTGTAGGCTTGTTGTAGACCAACTCCAGCTTTTGCTTGCCATAGCACAACTCCAGGTCTGCAGCCCTACATAAGGCAGACAATAGTACTTACTACTAATCAACATTATCACTGATGACGCCTGATCCATGACCTAATTAAGGGGAGCGTCTGGGGTAAAATTTATCTAGGCTATTCACAGACGGATCACTCTGAAACTTGGTACACATATGTAAAACAGAAATGCATCCATCAGAACCCCTGAACCCTTTGAGAACCTCAGAACCCCTTGAGCCCCTACATCCGTCAGAACCCCTGAACTCTTTGAGAACCTCAGAAGCCCTAAGCACCCTTTGTGCCCCCTCAGAACCTTTGTGTAAGGTTGTGAAACTAATTTATAAGCCACTGATTGGAAGTTCTGAAGCATAGGGCCTGACTTATGTGTCTGAACCCAGCAGACCGGGAGTTGCAGGCTTCCTTGTAGACCAACTCCAGCCATTGATCTGGACTGCTTACCAAGCACAACTCCAGGTCTGCAGCATGGTTGAATTCTAATATATAAGTACTTGTGGGTGGAGACGTGTCCCTTTGCAGCTTGAGAGGTCATCTTATCCAGACTGTGATTGGTTGATAAGATCATGACTTCATCCTCTCCAGACTGTGATTGGTTGATAAGATCATGATGTCATCCTCTCCAGACTGTGATTGGCTGATAAGATCATGATGTCATCCTCTCCAGACTGTGATTGGTTGATAAGATCATGA